GATACTCTTGGCCACTTTTGGGCGGCCGCACGGCCGCACTGGCAGTGCTGGTCTTGAGCAGCGAGGAAAACGGCTCATGCTGGCCGCAACCTTCGAAAATTTCTCGATCTTTGAAGGTCGAGCGTGATTGAACTCAGGCCGTGGCGAACGCTGCACACACAACCAGGGGAGTCAGGCAGCCAGGCTGAGTGCCTGGTCCGCCGCGAGAGGCACACGCGAACCCCACGCAACCGTTCTTACGGCTGCCATGCTGAGTGCAACAATACAGAGTGCCCCCAGTGCTTCACGCGCCCTGAGTGCTTGTAACCTCCAAAGCTCTGGCAAATCCCCCCCATTCCTCAGAGTATCTTTTGACACACGGAATCTTTCTGTCACACCCGCCGTTTCATCATCACCATCATGTTTTTTTGCAGAACAAGGCCATGAGGTAGCCGTCAGCTTTCTCCACCCGCCGTTTCACCGCAACTCAACCCGATACACCCCACATTCTGCGTTCAGCACCCACGTAGTGCCCACTGGCCATGTTCCCATCAAACAGCCACGTGGCGCTTCCACGCGCCCCTCCTGGCTCCGTCTCACCCAGCTCTGTGGCTGACCGCCAGGTGGACAACCGCTAAGCAGTCGCACTCGCCCAACAGCGACTTGGATGCTCCTCAGTAGTTTACGTCGTTTGGGGGGCGTGTCTGACTCCGGCCTGCCCATGTGACGCGGTGCCACATACTATCTCTGTGTTCGGCATCTCTGCTGTATTTTGTGGACCCTTTGGGTGTGTGATGAAGCTGGTGTGGTCTTTCTTTGTCATTGAAGTCGTCTCCCTGCGTCATGAGTGCTTTGGTCTTGTATTACCAAAAATTTCCGGAGCACGCCTAGTTGATGTGTTCTGGTGTCTTTTCGCCTCATTGAGCACTAGCCTGCTGGATAATAATTAGTGCGGCGAAGGTGCTGAGGTTGTCGACATCTCCCTTCCACCGCTTCTGGATCCCACGGGTCGCCAACTGAGTGATATCACTAGTGTTCTAATTTCTGATGTGCCCCATTTATTGGCGATGCGAACACCACGCCAATGATTCAACTGGAATTGGCGACGTTGTTGGGGATAGCCAGTTGGACACTCCACAGAAGTGCAGCCAGGAGGAACAGGTATTCGTGGTGGAAGTTTGCATGTGAGGCGTGTGCATTTTACAGGATGACACGTGTCAGTATTGTCTATTGACTATTGCATGTTAGCTTTCCTGAAATTTGGCACACAGACACCGACCATACATCACAGCACGGCTGGAGGGATAGACTCAGCGAATGGCCACATGTGGCAGGATACATGCTTGGGTTTTCCGTTTACGTTTACGTTTCTACATGCAAAAATACAAAATTTGCGAAAGGGGGTATTTTTGCAGCTATTTGTACGTATTTATGGCTCGTCGTGACAGCCAGGTTACACGCTGAAAGCTGTGTACAATGATCAGTCATCTGCCATTTCCAGCACCCGCAACACAGTGCCGAGCTCGCCCTCGGCAAGAGCAACGACGGCATGGAACAAAAGCTCGTTTTCTACCCATTCCAGCGCGTCTCACTGCTACTCCCGGGACTCACCAAGTCTGTACGTACCGTCGTTATGTAGACGGAGCTGTATTTACGTTGCGTTTACATATTTTTACGCGTTTGTACGCTTAAAAACGTAACAAATATTTTGACGCGTAAAAACGTAAATACGTTCGGTTTTTATTGCGCTTAAAAACGTAACAAATATTTTGACGCGTAAAAACGTAAATACGTTCGGTTTTTACTGCGTAAAACTAAGCCTGGCAGGATAGTTCAATGTCTGTGACGACCGCCATGACGACTTGCAGGGGAACTTGAAGGCCACCGACTGCTTTCGCACAAAGGCGTCTTTAATGACACCCAAGTCCCCAAGAAAGCGGTACAGAAAACCATGGTGGTGACTATGCTAGCGACAGATTGGAGGCGCCAAGTGGCCGATGCGCCAAGACAACATTCCCATGGCAGAATTCGTCGTTTGGCTGCATCCGTCCCTTCAGCACTGCCTTGCAGCCACAAGGCGACGACGGGCGCTGATGGCATCCGCATGGTTTGTTCCTGGAATGCGTGAATGGCTCAAGGCACCTGAAGGCAGCTGGCGCTGGTGGCTGGCAAAGCTTGCAGAGGTATCCATTGTGTCGCCAGATGCGAGGAGGGTGGCGGCTGAGGCTGCCCATAGAGCATCACTCCCGTATTCTTCCATCGCAAAAAATTCAGCAAAAGTGTGCTTAATGGCTGGGTGTCAAAAACACTGCAGAGAGTTTTCGTCAACCTGAGAGAACGCTGACTTGTTCAAAATGAACAAGACGAAAGCAGAAAAGGAATGGCAACATCTCCAGTTAAACTACGTAGGTTATACATCCAGAAGCGTCGCTCACCCCTCTGCGATAACCTTGCTATCGAACCACGTACCCAGGAGATGTCGGCCATACTCTCATCCCAGCAACCAGCATGGCAATGCCATTCAGGAATTAAATCAACTGCACCTGGCGGAGAGTCCCAGCCAGGAAGTCCTTATGCCCGGCAACCCATTCTCCAGCCCATTGTCCAGGGAAACAATCCGATGGCCGCCATTGTGCCAAAGGAAAACAAATTTAGGACAGCATACCCCCGCATGGCATCCTTCGGGCCAGGCATCCTATCCCCTTCGGGCCAGGCATCCGCACAGCCTAGTTATTAACAACAGCGCGAGCTGCACCCCAGCAGCATGCAGAGACATAGCCCCAAAGCAGCCCCGATACACCTCCGAAAAAAACAATATCGGCCCAGACGTTGGGGGCCAAGGTCACACTTGCATCATCCTCACCCAGCGCACATACACGCAATGTACACATATTCCGCATATACACAACTGTGGGCCGAACGCTGCCTGCACAATCAGCCAAAATGAAAAGTGAAGGCGGCGAAGCACCCAGCCACAGAATGTGATGCCAGGCTCTGTAGACAGACGCGACGTGCAGAAGACACACCGTGGAATTTTCGCGCCGCCGTTCGTCACTTCATGCGACGGCAGCCCTCTCGAACGTGGACACCTTGTCTATCTGCTTCCACAGTTTGTCATCCAGATCTTTGTCCACAGACACGCCAGTGTATTCCGCGGCGGGCTCCAGGTGGGTGAGGTCGTCCATGGAGGCGATGGGCCCCAGAAGGTTGTGCAGGGCTCCGTCCGCCAAGTCGTATATCATTCCGTGCACGTACACCTCCTGGCCTGAGGCCCAGGCGGCCTGGATGGGTGGGCTTGTGCACATGTGGAAGGTCTGCTGCACAGTGTTCAGCTGGACCAACCTGCCCAGGCAGATGAGCTCTGTAAGTTGCGGGGTTCATGCTGCCGATTTATGTTAACCCATAGGCACACCCCTGATGAACACGCCTGAAAATGCATGCGATTGGTTGCAACGCATGAATTTGCAGAATCTTTCGAAATCCTGACAAATCACCAGCATTGCAGATGACCACAACCCTGGACGGCACAAATAACCTTTTGCTTCTCTGTCCCAGGCAAGGAGTGGTGGAGCATCTGTCGAGTGGATGCAGGGCAATGATATTTGTTCGCAACTGCAAGGTGCAAGGAATAGGTGGCATGTGGAAAACAGAGGTACACCCTCTTCTCAGTCTGGAACTGAGGCTGAGACATCTCAGTGAGGGAGGGACCACTTGCAGGACACCTTTTCTACCTCTCGATAGTTGGATGGCCTCCAGGCAAGTTCAGATTAGCTGCCATCGCTTGCACAATGAAATGGTGACTTGTTGCATTCTGGCAAGCATAGTTCTATGAGGGTGTGCACCACACTCTGATCGTACCTCCTCGCCTGTTCTTCGCCCTCCAGAGATTTCAGCTCCTCTGCCCACTGGTTGCGCACATCCCGGATGTGGGAGATCCATGAGTTCACCAGGCCAGCGGATGCTGAGGGCAGGCTGAGGGCAGCCTTGCAGGCACCGCACCCATAGTGTCCACAGACGATCACGTGCTTCACCTTGAGGTGGTGCACTGCATACTCCACCACACTCATGCAGTTGAGGTCAGCATGAGTGACGATGTTGCCAACATTGCGGTGTGTGAAGATCTCACCAGGTTCCAGACCAGTGACGATGTTTGTCTGCAGCACATCAAGCAGAATAAGAGCATGAAAGTGGTGTTGTAGTGTTTTGGAACACAAGGGAAACTACTTATGGTATTGCTGGCCACATTTGGTAAATGAGACTACGCTGTGGAGGTGTTGTGGTGCACTTCCATTCTGTTGTTGAGGCCCCACACTCTGCATTTGGCACAACACCAGCAGCAGCAGCCAAAGCCGCAGCCGCCAACACAACTTCGGGTCCAAGCGCAGCAGTCCACGGTGGCGACAAGCAGTGGCAACTTTGGCCTTTCAGAGCTCTGCACCTCCTGTTGCTATTCAGAGTTTTCCATCCAAGCTCTGGGGATGCCTAAGCAGCAGCACAGTTGCATGTGTGCCAATTAACAGCATTGATGCAGCTGATAACATGAGGAAAAATGATGGAAGAAACGAGGCACAAGGGGAATCGTCAAGTGAAATAGCATGTTTATGAGTCTTGAGAAGCTTGTCAGTTGTCATCGACACTGCACACCATTCGGCTGCCAGTTCCACCAGGAATGCTATTGTCCATGGAACGGTCAAGGGCCTTGTTTCCTTTGCCAATTGCATAGCCACCACACATACATGATAGGGTGCACAAACCCGCCAGCTGACTGTGTCTTGCTTTTCCTGCCTACCACAACACGGGAATCAGAGCAACCAATCCACAGGTACTCAGGCGACTGTCCCTTGGCACACTTGGGGAAGAACTCTGGGTCAGCCTCCGCCTTTTCCGACGCCCATCTCCTGCAATGCAGCCAAACTGCATGTCAGGAGGTGGAAGCTGGGCTTTGCTTCCATTCGTGTTTTGGGACACATGTGTCCAAACAGAACTCGCTGGGTATTCAAACATCATATTGCATGTCCAACCAACCCGTTGGCGTTGTCTGGCCGATGCCACAGGTATGGTGCAAGAGAATGGGAAGCGGACTGGGCTCTACGCGGCAGGAAAATTTTGTGCAGAACACAAGGCCCCTTCGCCTCTGTGGCCGTGGCATCCCTAAGCAAGACGCGGCCACTGGTGGCGTCGCGTGTGCAAGTGGCTGCGGCTTGGGAGTCCGTCAGTTGCGCCGACGGAGTCTTGACAGCAAGGGCAGCGGCCAGGCGGCGAACACCTGGACCGTGGCAACGGGCCCCTCTCGCCTCTGCAGCCTTGGCACTTGCGAGCGAGGCGCCGTGGCGTCACAGGCACGCCGGCAAGGGCCTGGACGCGGCCTGGGACTTCGTTAGTCATGACGAAGGCTTGACGGCGCCATGTCAACAGCCAACTCCACCGTGAAAAGCGCGGCGTCCCAAGCGGCCTGGTCGCGCGGCGACTGCCCTCCCTGCGGGCCCAGACACCCTCTGGACGTGCCGCGAAAAGCGCCCAACAAGGACATCAGACGCCCACGTCTCTGAACCACTCCGCACCTGTTGTTGTCCAGGAGCTTCTGAATAGCATCACTGCCGGGGTGCCCGTGCGCGTCCATCCTGTTCACCTGCGAGAGCAGCCGCGACGACCGTGACGCCACGCACGAAACATCGGCAACGAAAACAAAATGCTGCGCTCCTAGGTACCGAGTCTTGCGCCAAATTTGCCAGAAGGTGTCTCCATGACGAGCACGCCCGCAGGCGTCCCCCATCAGCCACCCCCCACTGTGGCCAACAACCTCTGGCCACTGCGACCACTGGCTCCCGCGAGGGTGGAAGCATACAAACACAATTGTGAGTTGACGACCGCCAACCGTTCGTCCAGATGGACCCAGCGTGAGGGGATCCGCTCCGCTTGGCTGCGTCGCGGATGCTCTGATTGCCGCGCCCCACCGCAGCTGATGTTCTCTCCGGCCATCGGCGTTCATGGCGACCGTGTTTCGGACAATCTGCAAGTGGACATACCCCGTGCATCTCCTTCCAGACGCAGGGCCGTCTATTTGCGCCTTTCTACAATACGATCACAGGGTCTGCGGGTCACACAGCCGTCCGCGGTCCAAGACAACTGACCTCAACGCCTCTGACACCGGCCTTGCGCTTGCGCCTAAAGGGCGATGTGTACCCGCAGCAGGCGAACATGGCGCGTGGGGAGCGCACGCCACCGATCCGGCCGCGGGTTGTCAGTGGTCCGGGCCGCGCCACAGAGGGGAACGGGTCTGCTGGCACCGCCTCTTTGGCACACTCTTTGCGGCGACCCCCACCGCACGGGGCCACATGAGTGTACGGCCGACCTCCCGGCGCCACGGGTTCACTCCACCCGGCAGCCCCCTTCGCAGCACGCGGCGGCGGCGTTACTAATACCAAGTGCGCAGAACTGATGGCCGGGTGGGCCGACAGGGGGGGTATGATGGGAGAGAGCCAAAGTACTGCCGTGGTAGGCTGATGTTTGTGTCTTTGCGACCCTCACACCAAAGGCCTGGCCCCGTCCTGCGGGTCTACCACGGGCAACAACGGGCCACCGGTACAGTCCATGGGCCCAAATCTGGCCCCAAGACTGGGGACTTCGGAAAGAACTTCGGGGCCCGTCGGGAAGCGCCCTTTTGGGTGTGGCGAGGACCGTCGAGGGCCGCCCCCCACCCGGCAGCACAGCGCGCAACCTTGGATGAAAAACACGGACGCCAAAAGATCGCAGCGAAACCTGCCGAAGTGGATTCCGGCACCCGCAAGGGCGGTGCAGGGCACAGGATCGGACCCCGAGCGCCGATGAGGGCTGATGCCGACGACCGCGGGCGATTCCGGCCGGCGGCACGCTGCCGGTGACGACATCGGAGGCTGATGACGCCCGTCGCGCAGACGAAGGGCGCGCCAGGGGGCAAAAATGGCGCCCAATAAGCGTGCGTCGCGGCCCCTTGCCGAGAGCCAAGGCCAGGCGCTGCCCACCTGACGCTCCCGTGGGCCGCGGCGCCGTGGCTTGGAAGGCTTGCGTGCGGAACGGTGAGCGCCCGCGGGCCCTGCTCACGTTTTTATTTGGTCTGGCGTCCTGTCTGAGGGCTCTGCGTTGGTGGCCACGTCACGGCGGCACTGATGGCATCAAGGGCTCGACACAGGCGGGTGTGTCGCGGCTTGGGCCATAATGGTACGGCCGGCGAGGAACGACAGGGCACCAACCTACAGTCGCATTTCTGTTGATGTTTCCGATTGATGGGCCGTGTGACGTTGAGGGGTGGGCTGAGGCGGGTCGAATAGCGCCTGCGCCTGGCATGCCGAACCGGGAAGGGGGTGGGGTAATGGGGCGGGGAAGGGGGCGATTCGATTGAGACAGTGGGGCCGCAGTGCCGTCCAAAGTCGCGCCATGATAGTGGTGTGCGCTAACGCGGCGATCCCCAGGATTGCAGTATTCCGATGTCTGTAAATTTGGGGTCGTCTGGTCCACGCGGCATAATGATGGCCCATCTTTAACGCGCCAATCAATTTTTATTCGACAGCGGTGCTGCGGTGTCGTGCCACTTGCCTTACACTGCTAGTGCCAGCACAAGTGTACACTGATTGCGCTTGTGGAAACACCGCAAAGCGTGCCTTCTCTCATTCAGTGTTGCCCGCAAGCTTGAACCACAAGACACGGTGGGATCATATTCGCACCAATCTCTTTACAACGAATACTGTCGTGATATGAACTGGTATAGGCTGCCCTCACTGCCGGCTGAATTTGTGAAACACACGACAAAGCGCTACGCTTTCACATCCGGCGATGTGAAGTCTCAGCGACCAGTATGAACGGCTTGCAACATCGCAAACGCAGCATTAATGCTGCGTTTGGTTGACGATGTACCCTCCAGCAACAATGGCATTTTGTTGAAGAAATCTGACGACTGCTTCCATTTGGGCTGCAGTTCTCTGTTGTACAGAATGCTGCCTATCCATCCTAAAGTCAACCGAACCTGGGACAATCTGATCTAAAAGGCAACTTGAACAAAATCGGTGTGACTAGGCATGTGATTGACGTCTTGTTAATGAGTGCGCGGTTGGGGAGGCGTGGGTGGGCGCTTTGGATGCGCCAGACACTCTGATCGGTACAGACAGCCAAGTTACGTTACTGGCAGCCCCACTCCTTGGCAGTTTGAACGTCCGGTCTACAGACAGATCCTAACGGGAGCCAAGGGATCTGTTGGACTCATGGCAGCCTTATCAATGAAGGGGTGCCCAAAGACCGCCAGCTACGCTGCACTGCACCCCCCCGGGCACTCTCTTGGAGATCGAGTTCGGTTTTGGTTTGAGGATACCATGAAGTTCAAAGTACAGAGGATTTATTGCTTTGGATTTTATCCCGAGGCTAAGGACAGGTCATGGGCATTGTGGGCTGGAACATTGTGGAGAAAGTTTGCAGTAAACTTGGCTTTGCAGGTTGGACAGGAAGAGGATCCCTTCAAGTAGAATTCAGATCTCTGGCGTGCAAATGTTCGTGAAATCATTCAGGCACGATTATGCCCTCGAGTTGACCTGCCCTGAAGCCACACGTAGGTGGTGTCCATAAATCAGGTTAGGGTGCAGTGGGCTTAATTGGCCCTCAAGGCCATGAACTTTCTCAAGCACGTGAAGGTCGCCATGCCTGCCAGAACCGCACCTAGGTGCCGTTGCTGATGCGGGACTAAGGGTCGCGAAACGACGAAGGGTGTGGGTGTGGGTGAGGGTCTTCTTTTGGAACAGAACTTCAATTGCTGGCCAAAACACTGTCCTTGCACCGGGGCAGTGATGGCAGGAACTCAAGTACCTGGTGTGCACTTTATTGCCTGTTTTCCATCGATTGACGTGCATGCCCGACGCCCTTTCGTACAAGGTACCCAGCAACGTACAGAAAACGGCGGGTGGGACCAAGAGGGGTAATAGAGAGCAAAGCAAAGAAACAGCGCAAGGAAGGGCATTCCAGGAGTGCAGGCAGAAGCCACACGGTTCCAGCCTGTGCAAGTCTGCCGCTGTTTTGTCCCTGGAACGTGCGTGCAATGGGGGGATGAATTCACACGGCCCAAAGGCGGACAGACCAACGCAGTGCAATCAAACTGCGCTCTGTCTCTCGCGCATTGGGAGGTGTGCCTGGTGCGAACAGCCCACTCCCCTATGTTCAAAGGCATCCTGGTGAATTTCCGAAATGACAGTAACATGTTTTCTGATAGGATCGCCGGCAATGGTGGTGTGCATCAGGATATGCACCAACATGTACGGAAATCAGTCATCAGCGAGTTCCCCAAGGGGACTGCTCCTGCCAAATATCCTACGGAAACGCACTCCTTGCATTTTCAGCACAGCGTCAGAGATTAAATTCCGAACGCTCGTTGCAATGTGGGTTGCTGTGCCGGCCGTTTCTGTGCGTTTTTGTCTAGGTCTGAGCACCAATCGCCGGCACGACTTCACCAATCTATCCATCCCCAATCGCTCTGCTTCAGACAGCCACAGAGCAGCATCCAAGTGCTCGTGTGTGCTGCGCCACACTGTCCGAGCACGTTGATCCGCCCGTTCCTCAGCCAGCATTGAGTTGTACATCTGATCCGCCACCTCGCACAGCTTTGTCTCGCAGATCCAAAGTAAACGCGGAACGTCATACTTGTCAGCCATCCACGTCAAAAGCTCCGCTTCTTTGACCTGGAAAGAGAGCCGACTTAGACTCTTCACTGCCCCACATGTGTGTGCTGTTCGTTAACTGCAAAAATATTCTTCAGTTCTCCACCACTCAGTGCACCACAATCCTTGCAACAAACCATCAATACTGACACATTAATGAACCGAAGCACAATGCCAAACGTCAATTACTGTGTCCATCCAATATGACAACCCACTGGCCTTCCACACTTCAGGTGTTGCATGGCACTGTGAAATCGAGCCAGGGGCAAATTTCTATGACGGTGGGTCTCACCTCATCCACCTCAGACCTCCTATGGTAGAGGAACGCTATCAGGGTTTTGGCATCTTCGACTGAAATGGAGTCGTCCAGTGGCACACGCAGTGTGCCCCCATCCCGCGACTGCCCGTCGCCCAGCAGGTCAGCAAACATTTTACGGAAAAAGCAAGACTCGAGCGCCAGCACTTGGCTGTGCGCTGGCAGCTCGGTCCCTTGCACCACCAGAGTGACGTCGCAAAGCTTGCCGTAGTCCCCACATATGTCTGGAATGCAGTCTTCAGTTTCTGCACTAGGGCAGCAAGGCCTGGATGCAGTAATGGACACAGTCAGTGAACAAACACATAAGCACGTGGCGATCAGCAATAAATGCGCACCTTATAGGAGAGAGCAAACAGGCAGTGCCGATAACAGCAGTCTTTCTGGCAATTTCATCTCTGCACATCCCTACACACAAAAGCAGGCAGTAGTGGCATGTTTATTGCACAGTATCCGGTCATCGTTTCATTGAACAAGTTATCCATGATGCACAACAGAGCACTGCCATCATGGCATAGTACAGCAGCAGCAGAAGAAAGACGTTTGTGTGCAGCGGGAATTAAGATGGAACTGAATTGCCAGACAACCACACCTTCCTGTTGGTGCCAGGATTGAGAGAACAGGAAGTGTTTCGGGGCAGCCCCAGTGTGACTGGCCCCAATATGCCCATGGCCATGCATGACCACCTCCACAGGAATCACACACTTTGGGTGCAATCGCGTTGTGTAGGTTGCTGTTCGTGTTGGTCAGATTCCAGGGACGTTCACTATAGTTGTCTGTATTATGCTGCCATGGCTTTGCAACATGGACTCTAATCCCCTGAGTGGGGCCAGTGCTGTTCCCCTCCTGATCATGGCAAAGAAAAAGGTGCAACAGTATGCGCCATTAAAACCTGGGTCCAATGGTTGCAGTAACAAGAATTGCCAAGTCTTAAAACGTGTTTGACAGCAGCACTTGCTGTAATGTCAACTTTTACTGATGAAACGAACTGCAAGTGAGAAGAATGCAAGCAGAATTTCGAGCATCCAAGTTGCTGAACTGCCTAGAGTGTCGCACAACAGACATCTGCGCTGGGAAGTGCACCTTGATGCCAGTACAATTTGGATGCGCAACAACATTTGCTGAGCTTGGTTGCTGCTATTTCTGTCGCTATGCACTAAACCAGACGATGTTGGGTAGATTGGTGCAAAACAGGTGACGTGACCCAGCACAACCTACCCTGTATGTGTGCTGAGACATCTCACAGCGACAAAAACTGCACCATGTTATTTTTACTGCCATGGCAGGGTCCCAGGCCAGACAGGCAGCAGAATTGGTGACTAACCTGCCCATGACTGCACGAACAAGCGTCATGAATGCTCGATGCACAGTCTTGGCCTCCCATGCACAGACCTCCAGGAATGGCATCTTGTTGTCAACTGCAAAGCCCTGAAGTCAGCACCGAAATTCAGGGCCGTGCGGTGCAGTTTTTGTATTTGTCCAATTCCGCAACCTGCAAGCTCTCTGAGTGGGTCCTCTATTTGAGCAACTCAAAGCTGATCACTGTGAACAGGGGCCTGTGCCAGAGTTAGCAACAAACTGAGAAATTGATTCACTGGCAGCCACACATACGCAGAGAAACATGCATGGTCATGTATGACACACTTGAGTTTTCGAGCAGAACAGAACCTGCATTGGAGCACATTATCCACATCAATTTTTGGTCACTACGGACTGCAAAGAACATGCTTGGACTCGCATTCGAACTGTGTACCTATAGTGTCATGGCCCACAGCTTCACCAAACCTAACCTGGTAAGGGGTGTGATGCTGGCCACGAAGATCCCTTGAACACCCTCTCACCCAACAATATTGGACCTATTCGATAAGTTGCTTGAGAGTGCTTGCACAAAGTCACAATGGATGTGCATGGAACTTGAGGCAAATGTGAGAATTGGTGCTACTGATTGCACTCCTGTCATCCACAAGAGACAGTGAGCAGCAAGGTGCGCAAATAGGAAATGCAGTCCTGATCTTCACTCTTGAGAGTCCTGTGGGCACGGGCTACCCTCCTTGGTTGCAGCAAGCCCACCTTGGCTAACTGGCAATCTTCAGCCCTGCCAATGCACTTGTCCGTTTTGTTGCCAACCAACAGCACAGGGGCGTTCTCCCTTCCCCGTTTGCGTATCTCCGGCACAAAGAAACTCTGCATGCTGTGGAAACTGCCTTCGTCTGTCACGTCGTAGACCACCTCCACAGGCAAAAACACAGAAGTGTGCATGAGCATGCTTTGAAGCAGTTAGCGCTGGTCCACTGTCCACCAGTCAGCGATCCACTCTGCTTTGCACAATAGCAACAGAAGGCTCTTGGCAGTGAGGCCCGTTGAAGATGCAAGGTTAGAAGGGATCCGCTGTCTGGAGGGAAGCCACACTTGAGATCTTTCCCCATGTTCACCCAGGAGGGGTTGCTCAATGCGTGGCGTACTTTCCTTGAGTCACAATCGCAGCTCAGGTTTGTCCCCTTTGCACTGCCATGTTTGGCTGTGCCAACGAAATACTATTCATGTGCCTTTCATGATGTGTAGTTTCTTCTCAGTGGAGCGGCAAATTTGGATACAATTACTATGTTGATGTGCGAAGGGGCAGGCTGTTCCATTTCAGTCTGCACTTCGGCACCCCTCCAAATAGATCCTCATGAAGAAGGTCCCACTGTATGCCTTGTACTATTCCAATGCATTGTTGAAGACAGAATCCTTGTACAGCTAGCAGAAGAGTGATTAACGATGCTGTTGTTCCCATTAGTGATTGGTTGGGAAAGAGTGTTGCCTGTAATAGGGGTACTCACCATGAACGCATGGACCTTTTTGTAGATGCATGCTACCACACTTCTGCATTGGGGTCGCCCACCAGTGTCCCACTGTGTGGCAGGACATATGCAGACAAAGTCTTAGATATCCAAGTCACAGCCTGTGATTTCTGTGCAGACTTCTGCAATACGGCATGCAGTCATGAAATTTCCAGCCAGGACGGGTTGCTACGTGAGACATTGTTTGTCTCCCACTTGGAGTGTCTTCTTTATGGAAAAGCCGCTTCCACCACAACTGTTGAACAGAGGAGTGAAAGATCTGTCATTGCAACAAAAGGAAGCATGTCACATAGTGGTTGCCCTTCCTCTGATCAATCTCGTATGCCTGCTGTTGCCAGTGATGCACAAGTCTCCAGGCGGGATTTGAATAGTGTGCAACACAGCCTGCTCGCCAGAACGACCAGACAGTGCACTTGGGGTTGATGTACTCACAATTTGTAAGTTGACTGTCTTGCCATCAACATTCACGGTCCTCCTGGACTGCCAGAGTGCAGGAAGAGTTGAGTTAGATGACTGAAACAGGGAGCCAGAGTGTAACGTGTTCGGTGAAATGCGTTGAACAGCAGTGCAGAAACCATACGGCTGCAGTCAGTTGTCTTACAAATTCAACGCCAATGGTGGTCGAGTCAAAGTAGCTTTCATCCTGCACAGCGCAGAATCCAATGTGTCATCCACCTCTGGCCGTCTCCTGATTGTTGCGCCATTCTGGGTCCCTACACAGATGCACAAGCAAGAGATTTGCTACTGCCAGGAGCTCCCCACCTGGAGGTACTGTCAACAACATAGCTCACCAACAAGCACTGGAAAGGGAACGCATCACCGGGAATATCAAAAGAAGACAGGGACCGAAATTCGCTGAACTGGTAGCAATGGGAAGGTGGTTGTCCATCACCCACAGAGCAGTCGCGAAATCCGCAAACGAAATGCTGCGTAAGGCGTACTGCACACCACAAAGCGCTTCGCAAGGGCCGTCTTCCCCACACCAGTGTCTCCAAGCAGCATTATCTAGGGCACAGCAGCGCAAGATCGTGAGATCCCGTCGCTCCCGGCCCCTGCAAGCACTGAATTTGCGGCAGGAATTGGTTTGTGGCCAAGCACGAAAGAGGCCCTCACCTTGCACTGCTCATAGCTGGACCGATGAACGGATACGGAGACGTGCACAGCGAGTAAGGACAAAAGCGTGCCAACCATTCCTGGCTCAAGTCGGGGGATTCATGTGCTCTTAAGCCTATCCCGTTTGATGAACACACATTCTCCGTATAGGGAGCGACTAAGAGGGAACTGCCGGGCAGCCGGACTGGATAGCTTACTATTCAGCTTTCATTGCGCCCAGTAGCACGACGTGTGGGGCAATCGGGGCGCAGAAGGCCACGAATTGTCGTGGGTGGTGTCGCTGTGCAGCTCAGAACTGCAGCGGACACCTTGCAGCGGCCGTGAAGAAGCCGGGGGGCAGTTCTGCGGAGATGTGGAGCTCCTTAAACGGCGCCGTACATTGTGAATACAAGGTGGCCTCCGAAGTGAACCTGGCGTGGCGGGGAAGGCTTGCCAACCCTATCCGCGCTCACGCCCCAGAGTACCATAGTTGCGCTGCCTTTGGATGAATGACGGATGCCACCAAATCAACGTATCCTCCTGTAAGTCCCCATGCACGCGGCTCTCCCCCAGCCCGTGCGGCCCCACAAACCGCCCTTCCAAGAAAAGGAAGCCCACCTGTGCAAGTCCAGACCCGTGGCGGGTGGCTGGGCGAGGCGCACCAAACGCTGGAGGCCAGCGCGGGTAGCGCTCTAGGGGTGAGGGAGGACTACAAGGCTCAGCCTTAGTCGCGCAGAGCGACTTACGGATTCGTGTGTCGCCTTCGAAAGCGTCTGCCCGAGTCGCAGCTCCCCCCCCCCCTCGCTTGCTGCGTCGAGACTGAGCCTGCCAAGGAGCTTAGGCCTCCACGGGAATCGCGCAGTCGTTGTGCCGGCGCTCAACTCGTGCGCTTTTGCGGAATGCTTGACAAAGCAAGGGTCGGAATGAGCAGCAGGGTCCGTCAGCTCAGCCAGCTTGGAGGCCAGTGGTCAAAGCCGTTCCTGTGGCTGCAGTTGGCGTCACCGGCGGATCACGGGATGTTTCTCGCCTCTGAAAGGGGGCTGTGCGTCTGGGTGCATTTGCGGTTCCACAAAACCGTGCTCTGCGTTCGGCCATCTGGCCGCTGCGAAAGGCGGCCATGGCCATGCGAAATGGGATTGCCCTCTTCGCGAGGTGCTGGCGCTAGCGCGCAGGATTCACCGCTGAAGATGCTTGTGACGCGGCCTTGCTGGGAGCCTGCAAGCGCTGTGCAAGTGGGTGGATTCACTGGCCAGAAATGCAAGGAAAAGATTTCTATTTTTGTGCCAAGCTTGTGGCGAAGCAAGGAAAATCTGTGAGCGCTTTGTTGGCTTCCAGGTCTTGTTGTTCAGGGCATGAGCAAAAGAGCAGGCATGCCAACAGCCGATTGTCAGCACTCAGCGCAAAACGTACCTGGTGGGATTGCTGTGGCTGGCTGGGCGCCTTTTCCTTCCACTGACTGGCGTCCAAGTTTGTTTCATGAACAGTTCTCCCGTCTTCAGCGTGTATGCTCACCACTGGGCCCTTGCTACAAATGCGCAGGTCGTGGTTCAGGAGGGAAACCTGACCTGGCGGAAGGAGTGCAGGGAAGGCTGAGGGCATGGGTGCCGAGGCGACTCACGGAAGGCTTTCCCCAGCCCGCATGCGCACCACCTTGCTGGCCGCTACCCTGGCGCTGTCCCTAGTTCACGCCTGCATGGCCCAGACGCGCGGGGAGGATGGCGACCTGGAGACGGACGTAGTTTGCACCATCCTGTTGAGGGGCCGGCCGGGCTCAAACGACACCACGCCGCACGTGGCAGAGGCCAAGATAGACTGTACTGGCCCAGGGACCCCCATAAACATAAGCGCCAATCCGGTGCTGGTGGATCTGCTGGGAGAGACCGTCCCGGGCGCCAACCTGGTCGCCGGCTCGCCCCTGGAGTCCTACCTGTCGTTCAAGTCCCAGCCCTCGCTGACCATCCGGGACTCGGAAGTCGACGACCTGTTCCTGTCGGGCTTCGCGCCCATCTCCATCTTCAACACCACGGTGCAGTTCCTGGAGTCCGAGTTCGACAGGAACAGCGCGACAGAGGCTGGTGTGGTGAACTCGGCGGGCAGCACGCTGCGCTTCCGCAACTGCACCTTCCGCGCCAACACCGGAGTCAAGTTCGGCGCCATATCCGTCACGGGCGGAGAGAGCCTGACCATCATCAACGGCCTGTTCCTGGGCAACACGGGCGGAGCGGAGGGCGCGATTGGCCTCAAGTCCGGTGCGGTGAAGGCCTCTCACGTGGCCGAAGTGGCGATCGGCTCGACCGAATTTCGCGGCAACCAGGGCCTCGGCACAGGCGCCTCCGCCTTCCTGGCACTCCAGGGCGTGAACGCCACGCTCACGGGCGTCGACTTTTTGATGAACGAGGCCTCCAATGGCAGCGCCGTGGTGATGAAGGGCGGCAGGCTGGGGGCCTTCGGCTGCCTCTTCGCCACGAACGGCGGCGGGGCGGGCGGGTCCGCGCTGCAGATCGAGGACAACGCGCAGGGGAGGCTGCTGGGCTGCGAGTTCGATGAAAACAGGGGCGACACGGGTGCGCTGACGCTGCGCAACAGCTCCGCGGACGTCCGAGCCTGCTCCTTCACCCACAACCGCGCCGACAGCGTCGGGGGGGCCGCGACGGCGTTCGACGGCCCGGCGGGATCGCCGCTGTCCTTCACCAGCTGCGTCTTCGAAAACAACTCGTCGCCTCTCGGCGGCGCCGTGGCGGCTTCGGCAGCCCCGGAGGTGCTCGTGGACGGCTGCGTGTTTGTCAACAACTCGGCGACGGGCATGGGCGGGGGGCTGTACCAATGGAACTGCAACATCACGAGGGTGGTGGGCAGCACCTTTATGGGCAACGCTGCGCGGCTGGCGGGCGGGGCCGTCGCGCAGACGTCCTGCGAGATCAAGTCGAAGAACGTCGAGAGCGGAAAGCGGCTCAAGATGGACTGCAAGGCGAGGGAGGGGCTGGCGTGCCTGGTGGCAGAGCTGTCGGGCAACGAGTTCTCAGTGAACGAGGCCAACCTGCACGGCGGGAGCGTGTTTCAGAGGGGGTGCGTGGAGCTCGAGCTGGCGTCCAACCGGTATGAGTACAGTGTGGCGGCGGGGGGCGTAATATACCAGCAGCAGTGCGCGTCGCTGCGCGAGGATAACGAGACATACGAGGCGGTTGGCCCGGGGGACGGCGGGGAGTCGAGCGCCGTGGTCGTCCGGAAGAAGTGCCCAAATGAGAGCCTCCAAGGGAGAAGGAGGATTTGAGGGGAGTCTTTATTCGGGGGTGTTTTTAGCTACGCAGCTGGGAGGGTGGTTTCGAGTGTGTTTCGGCGACGGTGATGCGTGGGTGGGGTCAGCCACCGTGGCCGTGGAGTGTGCAGGGTTCACGAAGCAAGGCCAGCAGTAAATCCACAGACTCTAGTGTCACGGTGGTGGATAATGCTGTCTTTAGCACTCTCGTCAATGCGCTGGTGGCACGTGGAAGGGGGGAGATAAGCTTGATGCAAGCGATGGGACTCTGTACGCATGCTTCGCATCAGCGGCAGTGGCAACAGCGTCTGGGGAGTCCAGCAGTCGCCCGTGTGTTCGCTGTCACACATCCAAACCGATTGCTTTAAGTTATTGGATGCTGCACCGGCCTCTTTTTTTCTGCAATTTTGGCACACCACGTGGGATGGCAAAATCTGTCCTCTGGCGATGCTGGCCTAGTGTAATTACTGGGCTCGGCGAGCTTCAATCATATTCAAGTTGTTGAAATCTGGACATGACACGATGCTACACAGGGGCGAAATGCCTCGAAGGCGTCATGAATCTCGTGCGCTTCAGGCTTTGGATATAACGGCCTCATGTGCATGCTGGGGGACACGCATATTTCACCCATTCGGCATGCTCTCGAGCATGCAAGTGATCAACAGCAAGGTCCAGAACCAACATCATCCCGCACGCCCCGGCGGGCAACGGCATGCCTGGGAGCTCCTAGCCATGACCGCCAAGGCTCCCCAGAACGGGCCTATGTTCGGGTCTGTGAATACATGCAGTGTACTCTGGAGTATGCTGCATGTGCTGGTGAACAATGGCTCAAAACAGGCGACTGCGACCAACACGACTTTCACTCACTTAGTAGGCAATTATGTATTGCAGAGACATCAATTTCCCATGCACATTCCTGTGCGAATTCCCACACAATTCTTCAGCCATTCGGGACGGCCAGAAAGAAAGCGAAAAAGGCATGTGTCTTCGGCGCCTTCGCATTCGTACCAGCATGTGTACGTCTGGCGCACGTGCATGAAAGTAAGTGCAAGCGTCGTCCATATCCGCGTTTCCCATCATTCGATGCACCGCCGGGGGCGCAACCCCATTACTGCAAGTCATGAAAAATCCCTCGAAAACACGCGCATTGTGGGCGGGACATAGTGAAGCCCCACGGCGCGGAAAATATCAGTCTCGCAGGCACACAGCACGGGTGGGCCCACGGGGATCAACCTGTCGTCCACCGGGCCTCTCGTGTGTTCTTCCCTGCGGACAGGAACGAGGCCGTGGTCGCTGAGGCGAAAGGCGTTGGCGTTGGGGCACGCAGCGCGGGCAAGCTCAGTGGTCTCCGGTGTCGGCGTGTTGCACCAGTACCTGGGGGTCCAGAAATGCATCAGCGGAAGATTATTATCGAATTCGCAAATCTTGTCCCTTGTTCAGCACATGTTAAGGCGTTGAATGTCGGGCACCAGAAGCGAGTGATGCGTTGAAATGGGCCTCGAACGTGTAACATTCGTCGGCTTGTGCCGCAAGTTTGTGCAGAGAGTGCTTGGCGAATTGCCCCCAAGCCCGCAGTTGATGCCAGCACGGCTGCAACGTCGTGACAGATACGAAGCGGTAGGTTCGTGTCTGCTGCCGCAGCGGCAGGCAACGCTCAAATACTCGAAGATCTAGGTCAGCATCATATATCATGGCTCAATGAGCGTAGAAAATGTTTCAGAGTATGAAAAGCCACGTTGCCCTTGGGAATGGTCATTGGACCCACCTCAACGCCCTACAGAAGTTGCTGGACCCTGTGAAGTAATTGACAGCAAAAGGTAGCATATCCCTTGGGTATACTTTGATGTCCAGTCGTCTATGACAGCCGCTAATCTTCGAGATGCAGACCCCCATCCACGTGACTGGCCCCTGAGCGTCCACGCGGCTTCTGTGGCAGGCAGGGCGTAACAGCGTCAGGTGAATATTGTTGAAACGTTGATGGCGGCAACGGAATGTAATGCTCTGAGTGTCGTGTTCACCAACTCTCCTCAGTTTCACTGTAACCAGTAAGGGAAGGCACTATGTCTAAATTGCTAACGCTTAGCGTCAATTTGACGCCCGGAGGGGATTTGTTACAAAAGAGAAAGAGAAACTGGTCGTACAAAGGGCAAGCCCTCCTAAGCACGCGCGTGTGAGGCTCTGCTCCATGCTATGAAAAGTTGATATAGAGCCTCCGAAGCAGAGATGAGCACACAACACAAGCAAGCCATAAGCAAGAACATACACTCGGGGGCCCGTAATAAAGGGGGGGGGGAGCTTAACGTCAAATTGACGCTAAGGGTAACAAAATCGACATAGCGTCTTCCCTAACAAAGTGAACACAATGACGCGTTTGAAATTCATGGTGTGTATTTCGCTAGAAAAGTGATGATTATCACATCTAATATTTCCTCGCCGGAAGTTGGTGGCGGCTGACATCAAGTGTGACCTGCAGTTGCAACTTGACGCAGTTGCAATTTCTGCAGCGATCAAAGAATATTAGCAGACTTATTTGCGACACATGTCACTATCTCCCAAGCAGATTCCATTTACGTGAATCACATACACGTGGATGGTTAATGGGCGAGCGTCCATTCATTCATTATGTTTTTTTATCTGTTTTTCCGATTTTTCATTCACATGTATTATTTGTTTACATCATTTTCATCACTCCCGTTGGTCCTTTTCATTGCTTACAGTATACTGTTTATGATGGGTATTGTGTTTGGTATTGAATGCTTCGCCCCGAAGGGCTGTTATTCATGGTGCGCGGCATGATCAATGATACCGTATATCCCAGAGGCGTACTTCGGTATTGCTCGTTGCCTCATATCCTATATCGCATTACCCAGCATCATGCGTATCTTCTAAGGCACTTCGAGGCGCTGCGAGCTTAGTTACGCCAAATAGAATTAGTCGAGATGTACGAGTTCATGTCTGCACATTTATGAAATTTTAAACAGAAATGGCATTTGAGTTTGGTGGTGAGTTGATTCATCCACGAGATGCAACCCTATCTCAGAAAAATGTTCTCGACGGTGACACTTCTTTTGCAATACATGTTGTCGTTGATAATTCCTCCAAAACTGCTTCTGTGCAATACGCACATTATGGTGTCGTTCTTTCAAGTATTTTTGTGATTCACAAAGTGTTATTTCGGTACCAGACGCTGGAAACTTGAGCAGCACGGACAATTAATGTCCACACCGTAAACTGCACATAAAAAAAGACAAACAGGACTGCGACTTGTGCCCTGGATAAATCCTAACCCACACATCACAATCAGTAGAGAAAACCCGGCCATGTGCTCCTTGCGCTCAAATTTTTGCGAAGCAATGAGGAAATCTCAGACAAACTAGCCTTCACGCGTTACAAAATTTCCATTGCAGCCGAGCTGTCTGTGCGATATATACCTTGCCGGGTGCATATCCTGTGTGACGATTCCAGCTTCCAGGAGTGCGTGGAGCAGTCGCTCGAGTATCTCTCCACAGCTGGGAGGGGCATCCAATGGGGGTGGAGATATGAGGACGTCGATGTCGCCGGTTCTGGGCTTCCCTCTCAGGTAGCTCCCCATTGGTCGCGCGTGGCCCTGGCAACAGCGTGAAGAACGGTTCGTGAGATGCCCTCGAAAATGCCGATGCCCACAAGTTTTGCAAACAAAATTTCCCGCATGGTTGGGAAAGGTGGACTGCTGTGACGAGGCTCGAAAACCCTTGCTTGTTATTATGCTGGTGCCAGCGGATGCGGCCAAGCAACTCAGTGAGAGAAGCGACCTGGAGACGCCGTACTGTTGCTCCTGGCCACCGCGCTGAAAGATATCTTTTGGATCCACCAGGCCGCAGCAGATGCTGGTCGTCAGCGTGTCCGTGTCGCTGGAGAACTGTGCTCATTTTGCACAATCTATGCTGGTGATGCACTTTCCCCCTCATCAAGTTGTGCTAAACAATAATGGACATTTGCACTTGCAGCCCATCTTGCCCTGCAAATGAAACAACAAGCGCAATGCGCCTGCTTATCCTTGCAGTTACTTTTCAATGTGAGATGGGCCTTGTGCTCACCTCAGCCCTCACTCGACTCTCTTCTACACCGGCGACTGTAGCAATTTCGCGGGCTGCCAGCGCACAGACTTCCTCCGCTATGGCCTCCACCTCGTCTCTGGGGATGGTCTGCTGAAAATCTTCGTAGTACTTGAGGCCCACTACCTGAGTTTCAGTCAGATCACCCCTTCTGCGCACGTCGTCAATGCTTCGGCATCCTGTCAGACAAAACAATCCTGAGCGTTGCGCACGACACGCGTACATGCACGCAAATGTGTGACGCTGCATGATGATTGCTGTTTAGTGCGCAAAAGAAAAAGGTCTTGTTATGCATTGGATGCAGTTGCACCACAATGCAATGTACAAGCAGACTTCAGTTGTCAAATTTAGGCGACGCTATCATTCGGGATACGTAATGCAGACAAGCTCGATTATCCTTGCTGTGCCTCAGAGTTATTAATATCTTCGGAAATACAACAGCATACTGTCGAAGAGCGCATGCCAAAACATGCCACGTCATGGGGACGCAATCCGCTTCCAAACGTTCACTGCTGTTGTGCTGATTCTCGTTACAGTTAAATGCGCCATGTGCATGTAAGTATCGGGGAGATGCGATTCTTGTACTTTGCATCACGCCACATGGTAAGGCGAAACCCTAAATTCACATCACGTGTTGGTGGCGGTGGCCGCGTAGTGTCGCCACTTGATATCTGCTTCCTTCTGGCCGTTTGCTGTACATTATGATGGTCAAAGATCAACAAAATAAAGGCATCAACAGAATACTGTGAGCGAGACCGTGCGAGCCTCGCAAGGTCATCTTCTTACAGGTTCAATATGTAAATTTTAAAGGACGCATGATGGCAAGCCCAATGTCACTGAGGAATTCCCGTTGCCCCATGTCCTGCGATTTCCTTCGTGTGGGTGGCGTCTGTATCGAACCAAGAATGCCAATCAAGAATCACCAGAAATACCAATCAAGAATACCAATCAAGAATGCCAGAAAGCCAATCAAAAGAGGTCGAAAACATCGCGGATCGGAAGGGCTCAAGCTACCCAATTGGCAGCTTGCTGGCGTCGCAACGGCAAAGGAAGGGTGGAATGTTTCAAGCGGGAGAAAGTGTCAACAAAATTTGTCGAAGAGCGCGCAACAGCTTGGCCAGCAATCCATCTGGAGTCCAGAGTCTGGACACGTGATGGGACACCGACCTGCCCGGTACCATGACTCCGCTGTGGCCGGACCCACGCCCCACACGGCTTCGAACGCGCTGAGGGTGCGCCGGAGCTCGCTGCTCTCCATCTCTTCATTCCGCCGGAGCCGCCCCGTGGCCAGCAGCTCGAGGACCTTTTGGGCGGTCTTCTCACCAAGGTGCAGTCGCTCCACGTCTTGAGGGGTCACCAGCGCGAAACCAGCTTCAACTATCAAACTGAAAGGCAACGGAGATGCACATTTTATGGCCGCCATTCCGGCCGATGCTGTTGAAAGATGGCCCAACACCAAGGCTACTTTGCCACCATGCGGTTCAATTTGATGCAGTGTACACAGTGGGCGCGTGATTTTCAAAAATTTGATTGAATTTGAACATGTATCGAAATTGTGTGATGTGAGCAATACTCTTTAAGTGCGCTGCTTTGAAGCCGTCGGCCTGGTTGGCGCGGCTGCCTGGCTCCACGCCGCCTTCAGGAGATCATTATTGAGAAATGGGGTGAATGTCGTTGGTATTCACAGCAAGATTCGGTCCATTTTCAGGGCGATTACACCGCGATCTCACGTTCTTCAGTACTGCCAAAAAAAGCACCATTTCATGCCATCCACATGCCGTTTCAATGCCATGCAACCAGTTTAACGCCATTCATTGACACCACTGTGCTGACAGAATACAGAAGCAAATCCAAGAATGTGCAATACGGAAGAGCTTTTTGATGAGCCGAGACCAGCAACGACCAATGCCCATCGCAGAATGCCCAACCGGCGCTGGATATTGCACAGTCGCGCTTCCTTGAATGAGGTGCTCTTCTGCGTAGCCTGAATGCATGCCCATGCACACATGCACGTGTCCTGACGCACGCACATGCAGCTTGGCGCGGAATTCGCTGCATCGGCAGTCACGGGCGATGCATCGTCACAAAAAATAGTGTTCATGGCCAAGACAGTGCTTTGCGTGCCACAAAACCATCTGCTATTTGAATGCAAGTGAATGCGGGTCGGCGCACAAACCTGATTCCTCGGTTAACCGCCTTGATTCGAAACTGGTCCACGCGCCCTTGGTAGTGCCGCTTCACCTCTTCCAGCTGTTCCACGATGCAGAATGTTTGAGCGCCACACGCCGCGTGCCCGCAAACGCGGTTCACCAACCCGACATCCTCGCGCTCCTCTTCCAAGCCGCTTCCTGGCGTGGGAGACGCCTCCTGTGCAGCCGCGCTCGTCGCCGGCTCGGCGGACGTCCAAGCCCTGTGCCAGTGCGTCCGCAGCTTCGCGACCGTTTCTCTGGCCGATGACTCATCCCACTGCTCGACCCAGTTGCCACTCTCTCCCCACGCCGCCCGACCAGCGCCCAGGCTCTTCAATATGTCGGGCACCTGGTGCCCCTGGAACGGGCTTTTACGTTCATCGAAGGCCACTTCAGTGGGTACTTGGGTGCGCGCCCTCTTTGGCGATGAGCCCGAGGGGCCCTCGTCTTCGATTGGCCGCTTGACGAACGGAGGCTCTCCTCCAGGGACAGTGGACTTCAAACCGGGAAAATTGACGGGGTTAGCGTAGGGGCTTGGGGCTATGCCGGAGTCCTGTGCTGGTACACTGGCTTCGGACACTCCGCGAGCAGCCCACCGGAAACTCTCCTGTGGGTCGTCCCCCGAGCAAATTGTCGACGCCATGGAAATCATGGACGGGTGCACCTCCAGCGGGCCCGCCGAAGCCGCAGGCTGCCGGTCGCCTCCGGCCGCGTACTTCTCCTCCTGCAGCCTCGCCCCAGCCGCGATGCTGTCGCTCACGAAGGCGGGCAATACGTAAAACACGCCGGGAGCGCTCCCGCTCACTTGGGGCCCTTCTCCCCCCTGTGCGATCCCCGTGGGCGAAAGGGCGCCGATCACGTGTGTCGTCGCCTCTCCCACCTCGTCGTCCACCGTCGCCCCGAACCGCCGGGCCAGCGCCCTCAGCGTCGATGTGTGGCTGCTGGACGCAAAGACGAAACGGCAGCCCTGAAATATGCCCCCCCTGGCACTCACGGTTGCCTCTTCTTCCCGCAGGCTACTGCCCTTGCCTGGGAGAAAGCCCTGGAGCTCTTCCAGGCCCGAAATCCTGCGCAGAAAGGGCGACGCCTCCGGGCGTCTCGGAACTGCGCCTCTCCACTTCCATCCCGTGTGTTTAGCCTGGGGATGGCCAGCCAGGGGACTTGTTGGCTCCCCGGTGGCGCTGGTGTCAACTGACTGAGAGTCCGGAGAGCCAGGGCCAAACGGCGGGGATCTGGCTTTTGGGGAAAGGAGGGATGCTGGAGAAGGCCCTTCTCGTGCCTTGGGGGATGCCTCCCTGCTCCCGGCGCGCAGCGTGAAGCCGTGGGCGAAGGACGAGTGGTCGTCCGGGTCTCCCAACAGGAATAGAGTGTCTCCCACGAACATCTGGGCACAGCAACCGTCAGGCTGGGCGCGCATGATCATGCGTTCGCGGACTCAAATATTGCCCTTTCCCGCGCTTTCGAGCTGCGTTGAAACGACGGACGTTTGGTGAAACTGTCGCGTCGGCGATGAAGAATGCTTTAAAAGCAAGAACAAAGGTGCAATCGTAGTGGAACATTCGGGCGAGGTTTTCAGCCGGTGCAGGTCATGGTCAATGAATAAAACATACGATACATTGAGAAAACTTGACATGGAATTAATGCCCAACATCGCCTCTAAGGTGCAAGGGCAGTGTTTTGTCATGTTCATGTGACGAATTTAACCAAAAGATTTGAGCAGCTCATGATGTAAAAGCCCGACAGAAGTCCCCCGAATGCACAGATGCGGTCGAGGTCCAGCCGCTCTTGTGAATTTGTGAGTTTTTTTGTGAATTTTTGAAACGTCTGAAAGAGGCGGGGATTTAACTTGTTTTCCAGCAAAGACGACAAACAGGACATCATGCCGCCACCTGGGTCCATGGTCGATAAAATTCTTGCGCTAAAGTGAGCTGCGGCAGTAGCCATTACGTTCGGGCTTCCTGGAATGCGCTATTGGATTTGATGACCAGCAATCGCCTTGCAAATGGCATTTGGAGCCATGCGATGAGGGTAGCAAATGTACATGAATTGATGCTCATTCAACGGCAAAAGCAGGAAATCTTGGTGCAGGGATATTTCCAGAAATTTCTGGCTGTTTCTTCTTTGCCTCAAATCCCGTTTGAAACAATCCACGGAATCCAAAAACTGAAGGGTTGCAGAAGCTGGCAATGTTGATAATTCAAACTCATTAGGACTGAAGAGCGCCACCTATGCCATATGTGTTCCTTGCCAATTTTCAGCAACGACCAAATCGAAAATCGAAAACTTTTGCCTAGGTTTGTCGCCACCAGCTGTCAGTAACCTTTGCCTTTCAGGCTCAAAAGACGTTTGGCGGCGGCATGTGTCCCTTTGAAGAGCTCACATCAAAATATGGGCAGAAACGCAATTGTACGCAAGCGTACAAGCAGCGGCGATTTGCTCAAAATCGTGTATCAACAGTGTAAAAATGGATCAAATAGCGTAATTAGCTGTGATCTGGGGGACCATATCTCACCAGTACAACTCCCTTCTTTGGCAAGGGCTTTTGCGTGCAGGTTATCTATGGCTTTGTGTGTACAGCACATGCAATATACGCAGCATACAGAGATACTACTGAGGAGCGTACTACATAGTAGCATATCGCAGTAGGACAGTAATCACCACAGCGTCGTTGACCAAGGCCAACGAGGGGCCACCGCGTTCTGTGTCACTTTTCCTGCAACGTAATCAGGCCGGCCCCCAGACATGCAACTCAGCGCCCAGCAGTACTTCCGTGCACCGCGTCTGCCTATGCCACACGCCCTTGCTTATTTCAGCGTCAACCAAAGCACCGGGGACACCAGAACGCCTGGCCCCTACCTTACCCCCACATCCCCCTTCCCGGCAGCCCGCAGTACATTCACGTTCACTGAGAGTCTAAGCATCGTACACCGCCCCAAGAGCGCGCACGCGCAAAGGAACGGCACAACTCCTCTCAGCGGTGTCCCCACCCCCACCCCCCTACCCCGGCCTCCCACCTTTGCCCTCCCCCACCGCTCCACGACGTCCACGGCCGCCCCCTCGCCACCCCGCCTCAGGACCAGCCGCTTCTTCGACGCGATCACGACCGCGCCCGCCTCCGGCCCCTCGCACGGCGTCAGGCTGCAGTGGCGGCGGCTGACTGTCGGCGACGCGATGCCCAGCTCGCGGCAGCGGCCCAGCACCCATCGCCCCTCATCGTCGGCCTGCACGGGGCGCTCGCTTCCTAGTTGCACCAGCCGTAGCGCCATCCTTTCCACAGAAAGAACTTAGGCCTGTGGGGCATGCCCAGCCTGGTGCCTCTGGTGCCTTGGGCTTGGCCTGCGCGCGACGCGTGACGGTCACGCCCCAGGGCTCGCGGGCTCGTGATATCTCGAGAGGGTGAGCTGTGCGCGGGCAGGGTTCTGGGCGAAGCGTGGAGTGAGCGTATAAGGTAGGGTTCCGGCGAGGAGTGCTGTGCCGGGGCAGTGTGAGACGCGTCGTGTGTCACGTGCAGTGGCGGTGTGTCCGTTGACGGCGACGCCGAACAGCGGGCTGGCGGCCCGCTAAATGTGACCTGCGGAACCGCGTGGGCGCATTTAACGCGATGCGCAGGTGTGCACTCACTGTGTGCCAGCGTCAGTCACAGATCAAAGCCCTGACTGACTTGACTGCTCCATGACTGGGTTTCGGGGTGTGGGCTTGGGCCGGTCAGGGCCTTGACTGTGAGTGACGTTCGTGATGCATGTGTCTCTGGGAAAGGCAGGGACCCTTTCCCTCCATCTTCTTGAATGAATACTTGCTGAGCATTAAACTTGAAATTTTCAATTAGGGATCCCCTGTCCGGAAGTAAACGCCGCCTAGTAAATAGGCGATTTTACAATTGAGAACAAAGTTAAATACCGAAAAGTCAACGCCATGTCAAGAAAGATTAGGTGCAAAAAAACCATAGGAAACACCTTTTCTCACAAATAAATGTTGTTATTAACCCAACGGTATTTAAAATATTCGGCAGGCAAGTCAGACATGCGTGCATGCACTACTGCAGCAAAGCACTGCGGCAGCCCCTGCCCGCATCGACAGCCTGCTCTAATCAAGTTTGTCGCCGTCCTGCCGCGCCGCGCCTCGCCATGCCTGCCGCGGGCCCTTCGGCCAAAATGAAAATTTTTGTCATGGGCGATTGGCGTCTCTCGCCTTGGCCGCTGCTCGAGGTTTGTCGGCAACCGCAGCGAAGCGCGCGTCGTGGCGGAAGCCAGGCGACTTGCGGTCGGGAACAAGGCAACTGCAACGAGGTTTGCGTCAACCGATGACAAAGGGCACTTCGACGGACCCAAGGCGCCAGGCACACTTGAGAGCCAAAGGAACATGGGCCGACCGGGCTTGGAAACCACGGCACCCAGCTGAGCATGGAGTGTCCAGCGCGACGGCGGGCAGCAAGAATGGGTGGCCAGGACGGGCGAATCAGGGCGCCCATCTCCCACACCGCCGGGGAGATGTTTCAGGCGCGCAAATGACTTGGCCCCCCTGCAGGTCGCCGATGGCCGTTCACGCCACCGTGGGTCGGGGCGTTCCAAAGAGGCACCTGCGGCTGGGAATGGGCGCCCACGAGGCGTAGGTCGTGGATGGCGCGCAACTCCGGAGCTGCCCATTCATGCACCCCGGGGGCCCGTTCCAAAGTGGTACGCGCGGCAGAAATGGGCCCCCGCAAGGGGCCAATCAGGCCGCGCAGCTCGCGCCTCGTAGGCGCCCACGAATCACTCGGCGCCTCTTGCGGCTCGTGGGTGCCCATTCCTTCCAACCGCCCAGGCCGTTCTAGGCCACTACGGGCGGGCGGCGCGAATTGGGGCCCGTGAGCAGTGAATCAGGGCGCACCTCATCCGCCTCGTGAAGACCCATTCCCGCCACCGGCGGATGCCGTTGGAGGCCAGTGTGGGCAATGGAAATGGTGCCCGCGAGGCGCCAATCCCTCGGGGCTTCTCGCGGCTCGCGAGCGCGCAAGTGTGCCATAGGTAGGCGCCGTTTCAAGGCAAAGTGGGAGGGGTGTTTAGGCACCGATGAGGCACCTTTCGTGCAGTGCATCTGGTGCCTCATGGGCGGCCACTGGAGACTTCGGTGAGGCCCATTCTGGGCAACTTGGGGTGGCACGAATAGCCACCCATGAGGCACGAACCCTTCGGCCATTTCTTGCCTCGCGGGCGCCTATTCGTGCAACCGCCGGGGCACGTTTCAAGGCAGGCTGGGCGGCGGGATTGTGCGCTGATAAGGCGCCGATCGTGCGGCGCATCTCATGCCTAGCAGCCGCCCACTCGCGCCATCAGCGGAGCCCGTTCTTGGCGACCGCGCCTGGTGCAAATAGGCGCCTGCGAGGCACCTATATTCTTGTGCCTGTTGCACCTCGCTGGCGCCCTTTTGTACAACCGGCGAGGGGCCATTCCAGCCGATCGTGGGAGGCGCAAATGGGCACCTGCGAGGCGCCAATCAGGCCGCTCCTCTGGCGCCTTGTGGGCGCCCATTTGCGTCACCTCTTGATGCCATTCCAGGCCACCACGGCCGGCGTGAATCGGCGGCCGCGAGGCGCTGATCCGTGTACCCCTCCCACGGCTCGCGGGCGGCCAGCCGACCCACCAGCGATAGGGCATTCGAGTCCCCCACTGGTGGCGTGATTGGCCGCCCGCGAGGCGCCAATCTTGGGGGGGCTCTCACGCTCCGCGGGCTCCCAGCTATGCTACCTGCAGCGGCGATCGCCTGCTATGGCGCCCGCCAAACGGTGGTCAATCGGCAGTCAACCTCAGGGCAATGAAGGCGCCGGCAGCCAGCGCCTGAACTGCCCCGCCTTGGGCCTTGCCCTCGCCCCTCCCAGAGCGCATACCTCGTTGCAGGCGCGCTCCAACGCGCTCGCTCCTGGGCGCTCGCTCGTGTGCTTTTCCAGCACGGATGCAAAAAAGGTCAAAGAAAAAAATGCGTTGATTGGAAAGCAGAATGAATGCTGACATGCAATCAGAATCCTCGTCCAAAACAAACAGAAAAATAACCAACGGAAACAAGATCTCTCACGAGCAATGAACAATATTACCAGAATCTATTCTCCACTTGCACATCCACTGTGCACCCTGCTGTGCCCGCCAAGGAGGTAATTGTCCACTGAAAAGAAGCCCAATCGCTGCCATATATTCCAAACACTATTTGATCTTCAGCAGGTGCTGAAATGCTATTACTCACAAGCTGCAAAAGGAAGCACTGTAAAGGCCAACCGTGCAGTGCCCAAGGCACCAACCCCATTGATTCGGTGCACAACATCTGCCGAGTACACATAACTTGCATCCTAAAGCATCGGTCCAGATGATTATATTCCGTTGCTCAAAACCTGTCTTCCGTTTCATGCTACAGTCACTACACCTGTTGGCGCACCAGTTGATGCTCAGCTTGGTACATCAATCATTGTATTTAATCGTCCAACAATTGGTGCACGAGCTCATGCACCAATTGGCGCATCATTTCATGCACTAACTAACTGGTGCGCTTAGCTTGATCCTAACAGGTCAAGTCCAGGAGACTGAAGGTTATCGCGATCGAACGTGTGTTGAGCATATGTTGAAACTCGCTTGCATTCAACTACTTCCCATGGCCTTAAAGACTGTTCATGTTTGGGCCTAGCACCATATACAACTCTAAGTATTGTGTCACAACCATTGAAGAACATGTGAGTAATCCACCCGACCGCACGATGCCGCACCGTCGGGTTAATCAGAGGACCGCGTGTGCGCAGCGCGCGCGGATATCCGGCCTTGTATTTCCACTCATTATATATGCCTCCAAACACCCCGCCTAGTTGACAAGCATTTGTGATCCACCTATTTATTGGCGCCATTGTTTTTATCGCTCAGCATTATCTAGGGCTCAAGAGCCCTGTTGCTTCATGATAATTGCTGCCACATCGACTTTTGTTGGTGTTGGTAATTTCATCTTTCCTCAACGGGGAGGGCTCTACTATGAGACGCCATTTTGGTGGTTCCCCAAGACCCTGGGATTTCCGAAATGTTCACCTAGGCGAGTGGGTTGAAAGTACGTTTTTTTTGCTTTGTACTTTTTGTTCAACACCAAAATTGCAATTTTGGTGCCCTCAGTCGGAGCATTGAATATACTAGTAGATAACGCCCAGAATCAAATTTTGAAGAAAAGTAACAAGCTCTTTATACCAATGTGGCCTCCAAACCAAAAGAAGACATTAATTGTGGTCATAGGATATAACTAGTTAGTTAACAAATATATAAAAGTCACACAGAATTTGAGCCATTTGTTGCTCATTTCTGGTTCATGACTTTCTATCTACATATTTATTAATTTGATTATCATAGCCTCAATTATAAGTGAGAGTCGTAGGGAGCATAAAAAAAGTGGAATCTTACCAATAGGCTAGCCATTAGAGTAAGGGATTAGAACACAACTATGTTATAATGAGGTAAAGGAATATTATACCTACTATTGGAGAATATTATGTGTGGGGTTTTACAATTAAATGATCGAGTGAGAATTAAGACTATTGAATGAGAAATTAGAGGTTTGTAAGCTTACTTTTTGATCCAAAAAGTCGTTGTAGTAAGAATGAGATTTGATACAATAAGAGATATAAGGGAATATATGAACAACATTAGAATATTCTAGGAATTTACTCATTGTAGCGCTTGGGGGTTGTAGCCTATAAGAGGGGAATGCCAAGCCATTTCTCAAAGCTTGGCAGGCGCTCCTCTTTACTGTAAGGGCAATCCTTCACCCTCCTTCAAGCTTATCTTCTGAGACCATGGCCCAAACTCCGGTGGTCCCCGGGTTTGCCAACCCAATAATGCAATTTATTTGCATTCATTGGGAAGAAGAAGGCCATGTAAATACCCTCCGAGTTTGGGGCCATGCCAGGATGGTGACCAATTTGCTTACCCGTGCGAGTTGCATTGATGTCGAGGTCCGACAACAGGCATTGTCTGGGTTCCCTTATGGCAAGGCAACTTCCCATGAATTGATGCACCAGAACCGGAAGAGGAAGCATGAGGAACAAAAGGAGAGGCGGGAGCTTCAGAGGAGGTGTGCGCTTAAGAATGAGGCCAGAAGGGCGGCAAGAGAAGCATGGGCAGTGCAAGAGGAGGAGCAGCGAGATGTGGAAGCTACGGAAGGAGATCGACAGGAAGCTGCTGGCGTGCTAGTTGATGATCCTGAGCCGAACTTTGTGATGGTGCCAGTTGGGGAAAATAAGGGGTATTCAAGGATCTGAGGTGGATGG